CATTTAACATGATTTGCAGGGTAAATTAAAAAAAAATTCTCTCCGTGTAGTATTATACTTGCAATATATAATAAAATTTTTATTATATATTGCAAGTACAATACTACTAACAAATTTTTCTCGAAAGCAATGTTTTGGAATGTATAAGCCCTAATAAATTATGGGTATATTTTATTATGTATTGTAAGTATAATATATTCTACTGTATTATTAATATATGCAGCATTAATATTAGTTCTTATAGCTCACCAGGTGCGTGATGATTTCTCGACCCTCGTGATCGCGACACCGGTCACGCGGCGACGATTCTCGATCGTTCCACGATCTTCCATCTGTGGACGACGATCTCGTCGGGCGTCACACTTGGGCGACACTACTTGTTGCCGTTGTGATCAACCTAGAGAAAGCAACATCGGTACATCAGAAGGGTGACTGCGAGCGTGTCCAAATCGTGTGAAAATCAATTTCGCACTCGTCTGAGAGATTCAAGTTACAGTATCTCCGTCTGTATGTCTATTACGAAGTGTCGTTTCCAACATTTGCTCGTTTTTTTTTTTACTCAAAAATCGTGCCTACTTGATTATCGAGTGAATCAGCTGTTACACTTTTCATTTCCTTTTTGGCGCCTGCCTAACGACTTTAGCGCATTGTTTTAGTTACTTCTCTCGACTCTCTCAATCTAACGTGCGCGTGTTATTTAAACGACAAGATAACTCGTCTACGGAAGAGTAACGATAAACGATCGTTAGTTATTGCGAATGAAGTGTGAATCCACGGAAATCTTTTCCGCTCGTCTTTCTATGCATTTTTTTTTATTCGGTCGTAGTAATTTTATCTCACTTCCTGCACAATGTTTCTACGAGAGACATAAAGATAAAGAAACGCAATTCTGTTGTTTTTTTTTTCGTTATAATCAAATGGAGTCTACTTTACAAGCAATTCGATCGCCTGCGACGATTAGGACGCCTTTCAAAGATCCGCATGTTATGTGCAATTAATTGTCATTTACGTTTGTTTTTTTTTCTTTCGCTAAATTCACTTTTACACTCGATAAATGCAGTAGTTCGAAGTTTCGTTCTGTTAACTAATAAATTCGATTGCTCTGTTACAATAAACTTTGACAGATAGATATATAAATATATATATATGTCCTCTCTTTGGAAATAGATAGTTGTTCGCAAAGAATGGATAGATATTTATTTGTATTTACTCACCTGAGTCTTTGGGTTGAGGTACTCGAGCATTTGACTTTCTAATAATTAGCGTTTCGCATTGCGCGCGTTTAGTTCTCATTACTTTTCTTGCTCGTTCTCTTTCCCATTTCTAATTTTTTTTTCTCATAATGCATACTTCACATTAATATTTATTTATCGTTGACGTACAATCAGAACAGATCTTTGATCTATCATATTACTCGGGATTCCAGGTGATACGCAATTAAAAAAAAAAATAAAAAAAAAAGGATTGTGTGTGCACAAAAAAGCTGTACTTTTTATAACAAATTACTTTTCTTTTACTTATTCTTCGAGCGTGAAAAGATTTTTCTATTATGTGATTGACAAGCCGAACCTCAAGCAATTATTTATAAAAATTCAAGGACTTAAGCTCTAATTTCTATTGCTCTTGTATATATTTATTTATTGCTGGAGTATATATATATATATATGTGCAATTAACGAAAGTAACTTTACTCACTTTGGATGCCGGTCCAGTCGGCGCCACTTGAATGAATCTTTGAGTGGCGCTAACTGGACTGCACCCAGACTATTTACTCGATTTGCCTCTTTCTTTTCTCTTTTAAGCGGGGAAGGGTGGATCTTTAGCGTGAATTTGGCATGTTTCTCTTGCTGGAGGAGCGATATTTTCTGTCTCTCGCCCTTTGACTTTCATTCATTTCCTAAGTATCTCAGCTTGTTGCTACGCCTGTGAAATAAACTTAATTTTCGTCAAATTTGGTCATTATTAGTACCTTTAAGTACCTTCCGCTGGCTTAAACTTCACATACTCTACAACTGCACTTATATTATGTTGCTTTATAATTGTACTCATATGATATTAATTGCTTTCTAATTGTACTCATGTGATATTACTCTATAATTGTACTCATCATATTGCTCTATAATTGTATTTGAATCACTTTGTACACATATCGCTGTATAATTGTACTCATAATACTTATAATATGATATTTCTTAAGTAATATTATAGGTACTCAAACAGTATTGTACTAATCGTCATGACTGAACTTTTAGAAACTACAAGAAACAGACGTCGGGCTACTTATATCTGGGCTTGTCAATTATTTCAGTAAATTATTTCCAACGTTACGTTTATGACTCAGGGGTGAAATCTTCCTGAAATAGTAACGTCATTTTGAAATTAATATTTGTAAAACTCGTTTAAAACATATTATGGCTTTAGAATAAAATCTTTAAAACTTATGTACACTTTCACAAGACCATATATTTTTCTTTTCGTTAATATTATCTACCTTTTACCTTTACCTTTTTCTCTAACTAAACCCTGGATATTATGATATTCTTTAGATCCGGGTCTTCACCTTTCGTCTATGTATTTTTTGACCAGTTCGGAGTCGATTTTTCCTTACTGAAAACGTCGAAGGTCATTATCCGTTTCGCAATTTTCAACATTAAATATGCCTCTAATTATTCTTCGGCTCTTACAGAACCGTTAAAATTTCGCCACCTATTCGTCGAAATGCGCGTGCAAAATTCACTTTCCAAAAAAAAAATGTATTCTCTTACAATCTAGCAACGCCATTGGTTATCTTCGTTAAAGAAAAGATCGACTCCAAACGATCGAAGAATTTGTAGACCAAAAAGTGGATCTGTTCGAAATTATATCTAATCTATCATTTTTTCCTCAAAAGCGTTTTCACACATATATACCTACTATTTACCGCTAATATTACCGAGATAATCTCTCGTCTCAATATTATCACACTTATTCGCCCAAAAATTCATTCTTTTCGATTAGCCTGTCTTCCTAGGGCAGTTGCTGGTTTTTGCGTGTCTCGTCCACTCTTTCTCTGTTTCTCGTGCCGTGAGGTGAGGTGATAGCAAAGGGTAAGGGTATAAGTCTTCGATATATATTGATGTTCTCGATCTTCAGTTTTTTTTTTTCAATGTTTCTTTCATTTTTCATCGAGCGATCGTTTACAATAAATTGGGACAATAACAACATGATGCGCTATATAGAGTTATTCATAAAAGACGTGTCATATACAATAAACACATTACAAATTATTTCCAAGCGGGTTTCGTTAATTAATATAAAATAATGCACGACAGAGAATGACATTATAATAACTGAATTGCTGAATTCACTATAAACTATATATTCGGTTCCTGGCCGAACAATTCTCTGCCGAGGAAAGAAATTTCACATCAAGGCTCACACTTTTCCTTCTCCGTAGCTAATTGTCAAGAAAGGGACAACGACCGCTACTCGGTTTTGATGCCATGGAAAATTGTGTAACTAATTTAATTGTTAATTGACGATTGTCTCAAGTATATGTATGATAGAACTGCTAATGACTGATCATTACTGACGGGCGGTCGTGACGGTTGTCTGCCTACCAAAGTTAGATCGTAGATCCATTGTTTATATAATCATAAATTATAAAATTGATAAAGCTAACATTAACAAAAAGTTTACAATAAATGATAAAATAGGCAATTTTGGCAAAAAAAAATAAACCATTACAATAAGTTATAAAATACATAATCCTTCCAATAGCTCCAAAAGAATCCTCGATACTTGTTAATTCTAGCTGAGTATATATAAACTTTGGATAATAGTTAATGGAAATGGAACTGTCGAGACACATTAAGTGCTTATGCGTTTAACGTTTGTTCTCCTTTTTCTATAAGCCTTGCGGGAGGTGAAGTACACATAGTCGCGCGTTTTGCCATTTGACTTTTTTTCTTCTCCACCAAAAAAAGGGGGGGTTTATTTACGGTTTCTATTTACAAAACAGGACGCCGACCTTTTACAGTGTCGTCATTATCGCTTTCGTCATTGCTGGTTTCTCTTGTAAGTCATTTATTGTTATGTTAAATTACGCTACGCAAGAATCGCGAAGAGAACGGCCGAGGCGAGAAGCTCTCACTCGCTCGATACCGGGACTTAATCCTAGATTTTCGTACAGGCGACGTATAGTGAAATAATGTATAGTGTGTATTATTAACTGCTAATTGTCAAGTATAAAATATGTATTCCCTAGTGTCGTCAAGCGGTATATTATGCGAGCTCAAGTTCGTTCAACGCGCACGAGACGAAGACAAAGCAAAGCTATAAAAAAAAAAGAAGAAAGAAATCTTGGGAGCAAAGTGACGCGGAGGTGTGTTGTGTGTGTGTGTGTATGTGTGTGTGCCTGACGAAAAAGCTGGGAATCAACTCTGGGAGAAGATCCAGATTTCTTTCGAGGATTTTTTGTTCGGAGCGAAACGATTCTTCGACACGCGTCAATTGAAGAAAGTGCGTTCCGAGACAAGTGCAAAAGAAAAAGGTAAATTCATACAATTTTGACAGTGCACTTCGACATTACTTCGAGAAAATACATGCGCTCGTTGTAATCGGCAAGCCGTGACAGTATCGATTTCCAACTTTTTCGACACTTTTCGTACGTACGATCGGATCAACCTTCGCGCGTGGAAAGCGAGATAACAACAACCGTCAATTGTCCAGGGAGGCGCATGCCGATTTCACAAACGTCACCTTGCTTCCAGATTCCACGATTGTCATCGTTCGTTCATCATCAACAATCGTATCTCGCAGTTTCGAGAGGAGAAAAAAAACGTGACCCTTTCTCTCTCTCTCTCTCGCTCTCTCTCTCTCTCTCTCTGTCTCTCGCGTGCGACGGGAGACGACGGATTCGATCTGTTCGATTCTGCGCACTTTTCTTTTTCTTTTTCTTTTCGCCTGGGAGAATTGTTGTCTACTTAGATACAAAATTAATGAGCGGATATATTGGATATTAATTAAGTGACGGATATCTTTAATAACGTCGCTGAGACTGGGCGTTTTGGTAACCAGCACTGCCACCTGCAAACAACCATATCTCCTCCGTTCCATTACTCGAGAAATAGAATTAGTGATCCTGCTTCTCTACGTTATTACATAAAAAAAAAAAAAACTGAACGACCTACTTATATAGATTTTTCCTCTACGGAATATCGCTATCCTGTTACCTGCCTATCGTAACTTTTTCACATGTGTGTATGTGTGTGAGTGTGCGTCTGCATGTGTGTGCAATGAATATGCGCCAGAGTTTCATTTGCCTTTCGTTTGATTCTTAAGCGCTAAGAATAAAAAAAAAAGTGGATGCCTGGATAGATCGGTAATCTGTAATGCAAATGTCTTATCTTTGCGGACAGTCTTTTTGATCCTGCTAAAACGCTCTCTCGAATATTGCAAAAAATCTCCGTATTTTCCGTGCGGAATGTAGTCTTGTAACAATCGTTCTCTGCTATCTTGTAGAGATATCGCAAATGCTCTCGTAATAACGTAAAACGCTTTTTGTAATAACGCTTTTGTAGAACTGCAAATATAAGTACCTCTTTCAGTACTGCGAGTGTTCTCGTGAGACATATTGCAAACGTTTCGGTGTAAACTGCGAATATAGCTGCTGATAATAACGTCGTTAAATATCTCTTGTAATGTACGAATATCTCTTGCGCCTATACCTAACGTACCGTAACTAATGAATAGATAAATAATTGTGGCTTCGTCTAACGATCCTACAGATATACATTTTTTTTTACGTTACAAGCTGTTACACTGTGTGCAGTATTGAGAAAATTCAGATAATTTTCATTTGATTTTTCAACGACACGACTTAACTTAAATTTGACCTGATCCTGTATATAATTTGGGAATCGCAATTCTCAAATTTGTAAATCTCTCGAAATCGTCCTTAATAATGCCCTCGATTATTACGTTTTCAACGAAATTTATTATCGGCTCCTAATTATCCGAAAGTATGTAAGTCCTGAATTTTATGAGCTGTTCTGCTTTCCTCAAAGTACGAAAATGTGTGTATAAAGTTTATATATAAATTAATATATGTTTCCTTTTTTTTGTACCTTCAGGATGTTTCTTTTCTATTTTTCATGTTAAATTATTATTTATTTAATAGACCTCACGCGCGTCTAGATTCTATACAAACGCAATTTTCCATTCCAATTGACTTAGCTAAATCTTTGTCCTGTGATCAATGAATTTTTCTGTACTGCGAGTTGTACTTACCATAGTCCTGTTTCCCATAAACACCGTCCTGATTCGCATAATCTGCAATCACAAGAAAAACACGATTTATCAAACAACGCTCCTTCGCGACGGAGGAATGCTCCGAAAATACTAAGACAAACGATTCAGACGAGAAATATCTGAAACGAATCGAATGAAATAACGAAAACAAAAAAAAAAGAGCTTCGTCCTGGCACACCGATCGACTGCAGCCATGGCAAAGTACAGAATCTTCACGAGGAAGTGACGGTTCGTTAATCAATTGCAATTAATTAAGATCACCCAATTGCTTGAACTTTTAAGAACTTTTTTAACAAACTAAATAAATCTATAAATTTATATTATAATATTGAATTATAGATTAAGAAACCCAAAACATACACATTAAGTAAAGATAGAAGATGAACGAAAAATATAATAGTAAAAAACTTAATAATAACGGATGATAGTAGAGGACTTAAGTGATAACATGATCTACACACATATATGTACATTTTTTTTTAATGTTATTTAGGTGAGAAAGAAATTGCACATATGTCACGGACACCTTGTAGTCCTTCTGAAGTGAAAGATGGCAGGAGGCAGTGCTGCAGTGTGCTGGTGTCTCGATGAAAGGATCCGTATCCAGCGTTTTCGTATGATTTCTTGTCACGTTCGGAATGTCGGAATGGAATTTGTATAACTCTGCGCAACTCTTCGCATACGATCTCGAGCGGAATACGGTTCGGAGGGAAGAAAAAAGCTTTTTCCTTTTTTTTTTTTTTTTTTTTTTTGAAAGCTAATGCACACACAGATCTAGCGATGTAAAAAATCCAAACACCCGAGACGGTACGAGAACGCAAGGCAATTCCAAAGGAGAAAACTCCGATTCTAACGGCACTGAGACTTCGAGAAAGTTCCGAAATATCCGCGTTTCTAGATCTGTGATCGAAAAAAATTGTCTCAGAATCAGATCGTTTCTCGTCTGAATCGGATCGTGCTTTAAACGCCTCTATTACGTGGGAACGTGTTAACTCGAATGCCGGAAAATAGGACGGTAGCGATCTTCAAGAATTTCACTTACCATCGAGGAACGAGGCATCAAATTATTTGTCAGAAAGGAACGTCGCGTCATAATACAGTAGCTTGAATTCAACGTTCAATTAGTTGGAAAAGTTTTGCGTGGAGAATATAATAAACTGACACTTCACGAATTGTTCCCAAGGAAAATTTAATTAATGTTCATCGGTTAATATAATCGTTTTGAACTCCTTATCATGCCTTTGTGACGCAACTTACGACATTTCTTTGTCGAAAACCTCTCCGGACGAAAAGAGAGAAAGAGATAATTCAGATAATTTAATGCTCAATCTCGATGGTACGTACAAAAACGAATCCTTAAGGATCGCTCTCCAACGGTCGTAGTTAATGAACTGTATATAATGTGAGCAGTATACTGATGACAACGGACGAAACAACTAACCGTAAGGTTGCGTCGAGTAACCACCCCGGTTGATTATGTTGGCATTAGATCGGTCGTCATACGGGTCGGCAGAGGCATAACCGCCCCCGCCGCCCCCCGGCCCCGCGGGTGACACTGCCTCCTGCTGGTAATTGGCTGGACATGCATTATGTAATATTAATATCAACAAAGCCGCACACGGTGTCCCGCCGACCTATTCAATCCGACGCTCGAGTTACTCGAGTACTAGAGTACTCGATTAGTCGGTTGTCGCGTGTGTCTTAAGACCGTCGCGGTAAGTCAACGTTACGCTACAAATCCGTCAAACTTAATCAATTTAGCTCTCTTCATGATCTGAACTTTTATCTCAAGCTATTATCATACAATTATTGTTACAGGCTCACTACTTGTGAAAATAAAAATTCAAAGATCTGGAGATCTTGAGGAAAAAAAAAGTATTTAAAATTAATGCATCATGAAGAATTGATCGAAATCGATTAGCGAGTGACGAAGGTACACGAGATGTAACAAAGAAGTAACTACGCACACGACACGAAACCTCTTATTTTAATGCCTACAACTCACCTGATGGCGGAGCTTTGCCGTAACTGTAGGGATCGTTAGCGCCGAATCCTCCTGCAGCCGGAACCGATGACGCTCCGCCGTATCTGTTATCTGGTGCGGACGGTGGATAACCCTGGAATCAAAAGAGAGAGGAAATAATCGCGGGTTCTGAAATCCGTTTGAAAACAATTAATTACTTTAAATTAACATCAGTAGGAAATTCTATTGTGATTTCGATTGCAATTTAAAAAATTGTTTGATTATTTAAATTTATTTGGAATTTATTTATATAAATTTAATGATCAGAAAAAAAACGGCAAATGATTGAACATAATTAATAGCAGATTCATGTTTTTAAATTTATTTCTGAGAATTGCTTCCTCAGAATTGCATGTATTTCGGACACAATGTCGTTCATTTACCGTTTGCCCATAGTCCTGGGGCTGCTGATAGCTCTCGTAGCCCTGATAAGACTGCGTGTAGCCTTGCTGCGAGCCGTAGCCACCGCCACCGTATCCTACTGACTGTTGCTGTTGCGGTTGTTGCTGACCGCCGTAAGCGTTATTTGATCCTCCGTAACCGCCTTGGCTACATTACCATTCAAAAGCAAAATGTGTTGTCAGCAAGTTCTTTTCTTTGTGTCAATATACTCTTTTCTTATATTCTTTTCATTGTGCTAATATATTCTTTTCTTATTAATATTATACATTTATATCGATTGTTCTTTAAACTTCTATACGTACAGTACAATAATCGTATTATTATATATTGAATATATATTTTATTTGTTATTAATATCTATAAATCTTCATAATCATATTTTTTTTATTTTCGCAAATTGACTATTTCTAAAAAAAGTAAATTTTTGAAAAAATAGCTTGAATATCTTTTACAACATATCAAGAGACTTATAACAAATTAATTTGTTCTCGACAAAAAAAGGTTAAATATATAATAACAGATGTCTTCAAATTATAATTTCTGATATTGATTAAAAATTAGTATCAAATAAAAAATAAATATAAATATCTTAAGAAACACAATTTTAACAATTCTCCCCTACATACATCGTCTCATCAAATATCCCAAAATTTAAGTTTCATAAACATCGAAACATTTAAAGTTTAAATATTACAATTATAAAACTCTCATGAAAAATTAATTTCAATTAATATTCGATATTCAGTGAATATAACTAAACCTACATATGTTAAGTTAATTTTCAATGGCTCAAGAAAAAAAAACTTTCGAACGTTAGGATAAAAAGAAAATTTCTGGAATACTCACTTAGGTGGTTGAGTGGCGTAGCCATTGGATGGTTGGGAAGACGACTGATCGAAGCGTGGCCTCTTGGAGGGTCCACTGGAGCTAGGTGGGCCTCCTCCTCGTTTCGTCGGACCACCACGTCCACCACCAGCCCCCCGGCCACCGCGATCGACGAAGCCACCACGGCTTCCAAGTCCACCTCTACTCGATCCTCCTCTAAAACAGTAAATTGCATTTGAATAATAAATTCTGGCAGATTAATAGATTATTTGTCATATTAATAAAGTTCTCTTAATGATTTCTATGATTTTTAATTAAACTTTGACTTTGTATCATATATAGATAATATTAAACAAAAAGTACTACTGTTATTTTCCACACATTTAAGACTTATAATATTTTTTCCACAGAATTGAAAAATCTATGTAATTTTATTGCAAGAATAAAGTATTTAAATTATCGCGAATCGTCGAACATATTAGAATTTTGTTAATTTAAGAATAAATTTATGATATATTCATATGTACAAAAGATTTTGTTAAGAAATTTCCAAAAGACTATTTATAATAAAAAGACTCGACTGCAAGATATAAATGTTAAAGATATAAGTGGTAACCATCAATACGTAAATTTTATTCACACTTAAATAAATTATTTTGGAGCTAAGAGGTTTCCTCACCTGGATCCTCCTCTACCCCTATCCATGCCGCGACCACGGAAATTGTTGCTACCCCCGCGGCTATCTCCTCTGCCAAAGTCACCTCTGCCTCTGCTGCGGAAGCTATTACTGCCACCCCTTCCGCCGCCGCCACGCGGAGGTCCACCCATTCCCAAGGGTGGCGGGCCACCTCCAGGTCCACTGGACATTCCAGGTTCTGGTGGTCTATGTGTACGATAATGAAACTATTTTAGCTTATAATATTTCACCGTTGACCTTATAATGCTTCAGTTTATAAACTTTATTATTAAAAATATAAAAAGAATTATAAAATTTTTAATTAATCAATTCTTGAAGCCACATTTCGTGATTGCGCGCGAGTATATAAATTAGTAAATAGTATAAAATAATAAAAATAATAATACAGTTAACAGTATATAAAATTTATTAATTATATTAATATTCTTTATTATTGGAAAAAAATAAATTAATGCACAGTTTATAAATTAATGGTGAAACTGAATATCTCACAAAATATGATTAATTCTACCAAAATACAAAATATAAAGTGTATTAATGTAACGCTTACCCTGGAAAATGTCCACCGTGTCCTCCTCGTCCGCCTCTACCAGGAGGGCCACCCCTGCCTCTCATAGGTGGGCCTCCTCGCATGCCACCGCCAGGTCCATTGCCTCGTCCACCGCGCATCATGTTGCCGCCTCGTAGAGGGCCACCTCTGTTACAAAACAACACAAAATTTCATATGATTTCTGTTATTTCCTTCGGATGGCACCCGATTGACCACATTGCGATTGACCACCAGCCACTCACTGCGCTTGAACAGTGGGAAATCTGTAGGCACCAGCGACTCTGAGTGGCTGTGGTCAATCGCAACGTGGTCAAACAAGACAGTCTCTTTCTTTCATATGATAATTCATTACATTCACAAGCACCTCTGTATGTACATAACTTTATTGAATTCTTCGTTTTCTCATTATGCCATATTGCCTTTTGTAAGTAATTAAGAATAAATATTATGTACATTTTCAAAATAATGAAAAAATAATGAAAAATTGTAGAATATTAGAAATATAATTAAGAAGTAATGACAAAATTTAATCATTTTTATATAAGTATTTTAAGTTTTCAAGATAATTTATACAAAACTTCATTGTGATACAGAGATTAATTATTTTGCAAATAAGCAAATAAATAAATTTTGTTTACAAAGCTAATCTTTGCGTCGCAAAACTTAATATAAACCATCTTAAATATTTAAAATATATTTATGTAAAAAATTGAGATTTTTGTCAATATTTGTTTAATCATATTATAACAATAAAACTATAAGTGTTGCTAAATAAAAATATGTTATTCACGTAACTTTCGCATATATAAGTATGTATATATAGTTTATTTCAAGTAATAAAATATTAACATATCTTTCCAATTTCAATTTACTTTTTGCAAGGATTTTATGAGAGATAAATTCTTAAAAGAATGAAATGCAGCTTTAAAGAAAATGTTTTCTGGAGTAAATGTTCATAAGACCATTAATTGCAAGGATTTTATGAGAGATAAATTCTTAAAAGAATGAAATGCAGCTTTAAAGAAAATGTTTTCTGGAGTAAATGTTCATAAGACCATTAATGCAAGTTTCTCTCTTATAGAGTGCTCGGTCCAGTAAGTTCTTTACCTTCCTCTATCTCCGAAACCGCCGCGTCCCCTCATTAATCCACCAGGGCCCCCGCGGCCTCGAAATCCACCTCTACCTCCTGGTGCTCCGTCCATTGTTTAAGCTTCCTGTAACATATTTCAACTCATATAAATCTACAAGTATAAATGTAAGAATTTCAAAGTGCAATGATAACACAAGGCTCTATAATAATAGATGCCCAAGATTTGTAATTCTAGGCACATTGACTCGACGTATATTGGCGTTCACAGGCTTTATTATCTTTTTTTTCCTCAATGAAGATAAAGAAAACACAACAGGCTGACGGCACGTGTAGATGCCCAGAATTATAAATCTTGGACAGCATTGATCTACAAAGTTGAAGCTCAAGGTTTTTGAAGGACGTAGAAAAATTTCATAGAATTTGGAAATGCAAAAATCGCAGGGTCAATTATTCTCGAGCCGTCGTTGAACTGAATCGTTGAATCCATCGAATCCGATGGATCGGCGCACTTATTTGATCCGGCAGAGCGATTCAGCGACTGACTTTCCTCCGAAAATTCTTTCAACAAAAGATACTCTGCGCCGACACGTTAGTTATGCCTCCGCGGACACCGAATAAACTGTAAAAACAATCGCAACTCCCTCTCCCTCGCTCTGCATACAGCCGATTTACCGGCACGCGTGAATCTTCTCGCTCACCCTCCCCCCCCCCTTTTTTAATTCAAGTTCGGTGAGACATTAGCGAGAAAAAGCGACGACGGCTCACCGCTACCGACGCTACACCTCAGGCAGTTCGGCGGAGAAAAAATGTTCCGGCGAGGTGCGGACGCGTCCCCGGCGAGTCGCGACGCGATTCGATCGAAGCGAACCCGGCGAGCGAAGGGTCCGCGCGGAGTCGCGGAACGGCGCGATTTAGCAGAGACTGGCATTTACTCACGATGAGCGGGCGGCTACAAAAGCGGCTCATAAATCAGAGACGCTCCACACACAAGCGAGCAAAATGGACGTCTGCCCGTAGCGGAAGCAGGGAGAGCAGTCCCCTCACCCCTCCAACCCTCGCCGCTCGCGCGTGCGCGGCGGCACTAGCAGACGCTGCTGCTCGTCCCAGGGACGCGCACACACGTTTCGCCAGAGAGGGAGTCGTTGGGCCCCCCCCCACGGGAAAGAATTCGAGATACGTGAAGTTCGGGTATTTTGTAATACGCGCTCGTCTTGTCTTCCTCATTTTCTCTTATTCTCTCGAACTAGAGGCAAATTTTATTTCGTACAGCTGTACAAAATGGAGAATAACTTCGCGACAGCGTAAAGGAACATTTGACAATTTATATGGGGGGTCCCGAGAGTGACGGTGCCTACATAAATGTTATTGGCACAAGGCTGAGGTGCTCACGTCTCAATGACGTAACTCACGCACGCGCACAATTGTCCGTCCGGAGAGAATTTGTCCCTCCAATTCGCTCGCAGCGTTGAACGGAAAAAGGAGCATCGATTTGCAGGACCACGTGAGTCAAATTCGCATCACGCGTTTATACTCCTTTCCCGCTGCCAATTTGCGGGGTCATCCAACAAGTTGTGCAACATCACCGACCGATGGGTATAACCTTTGTCTGTATGGGCTTAGGAATACAAATGGCACACCGAGAAACGTGAGCAGCAATTAAAAATTGCAAATTACATATTATTTTCAGGAAAATTTTTAAATTTACAAATTTCTGAAAAAATATACCGGCATACCTTTTGGACTTCATCCAGATTCCATAAGTCTTAATTCTTTGAAAATTATGTATAATGAAAAATCTTTAAATAATTCAGAATTTACGTATAAAGAATTCGAGAAGAATAATGTACAGATTTTCATATAGCATTTTTCTGAAGTACTCCAATTAATTCATATAAAATAATTAAAAAATTTTCCAACAAGTTATATAAAACATGTACGATATAAATTGAAAAATTCTTCAAAAAGTTTTTAAAAAATTAAATATTTTACCACAATTTCCAGCTCCTTTTTTCAGTTTCCTTTTTCGCTCTTGATGTGAAACTCCTATTAAAAAATTGGTTGAGAATCGGAATTTTCCACTGGGCAATCGATCAGCAAGAACGCGGATTAAGTTTGAAATTAGAGATCGTCCACGTCGATAATTGGTCAATTTAATGTAAAATTTTCTGATTAATTTTGTGGAAAAGCTCCTAAAGCACTGATCGCGAGTGATCAATCGCAGCATATATGAAGGTGTGGTGAACTTTTCAGCTGAACTTCTTGCACGGTTACATCTTTCCTCTCTTACTCCTCCACGTTGTAGAAAGAAAGGAGAAAAGACGAACAGTGCAAGAATCTCGACAACTAAAAAAATAAGTAACAGGGCCGGCCTGCGGTCAAACGGACGCTCCCTCTTTTAAAACCTCGGCAGATAATCGCGGACGAGAGCGATTGAGAGTTAGCGAGATCGATGGCCGCGGGATGGCGCGCGCGGCGCCCGGCGCGCCAACCGCGCCAACTCCCGCCTGGGCCACGTGATCCGCCCGGCGCGCGCGACGATTGGCCGGCGATGCGTCATTTAAACCGGCGAGCCGTTGCACGTCCTCCGCCGACGTTGTGGTGCCAGGCGGCGGTTTGAACAGAGAACCAGAAGTGCAGCGAGCAGCGAGTTCCGCGGGTGTCCTGCGGTACGGTAGCGTGACTAGCGCGCTCACGGGCCGTTTCGCACACGTCTTTTCCTCTTTCCGTTTGCATCCTCACTCACACACGGGCTCTCTCCCTTTCTCGCGGACGCGCGGGAGAACGACCGGACCCCTGGGGGAGCGGTCGCTGGGGTAACCGTAGCAGCGGTGCGTATATCAGTTTGTTTCACCCGAGTGCGTATTTACGCGCGAAGCCGGCCGGTAACCGTGACGTTGCGGAGTGAAATCGCAGGTCGGCCTACGCGACGGCGGACGTCGGGCTCGACGAGCAGCGACGACGACGACGACGACGACGACGAGCTGTCCGGCAGCGCTGCTGCGACATTCTCCGTGACATCCGCAACGTACGACGGCGGTGCGTCCTCGAGCGACAGCGGATCCGCGTGCCACTGCCATTGCCACTGCCATTCCACGATGTCGAACGAGGAGGAGAACACTATACCGAGCATCATATATGACGCGAACACCGGCAAGAGTTATTTGAAGGGCCGGTTCTTCGGGAAGGTGAGAAAAGCGCGGAGAAACCCGCTCGCGCGCGTCCTTCAGCCTCGCCTTCTTCGCCCTGACCTTGCGCAGTCACGTTCGCACATTACATTCCTCTCGCGCGCGGGTTACGTGTGTATTTATACACATGGTGGACGACGCGGTCCCTCGGCGCCCGACACGACACTTGTTGCACACTCGTGCCGAGGACAGGCGGATTAAGGTGGTGAGGGGACGTCGTTATGGTTCCGCGATCGCGAGAGAGAGGCTCGCGGACTGCTCGCGACATTGTCGAAAGATTACGTTTCAGCTTCTCTTTGGAGGAATTCAGGAGTCACGTGGAATGGAAATATACTGGAAATTTGATTTATGTCCATTTCCATCAATGTAGATTAATCTCGATTCGACTTGTCTACTTTTTATCTTTTTCTACGCAATAAACAAAATAATCAGAAAGTGATGAAGAACAGGTGAATTAAGTCAAGATCGCTACTTTAATCTACGTTGATGGAATTGAATATCAAGGAATTTTTATGGAGGTTTTATGGCAGAGAAAATTGCTCAATTCTGTTATCTTGCTAGGTTATAAATATCTTCCATCTAATTCTAATTTCTATCCATGTAGCTTACTTTTGATTTCAGTTTAGCTTCATTATTTTTCTAATTCTTAGCATTAAAAAGAAGATAAAAAGTAAATTAATCCAAGATTAAAGTTAATTTATTTTGGTAGAAATCGACATTGGAGAATTTCTGAGGCAGTTTTATGAAAGAGAGGTTTGCACAAATGTCTCTCTTCTCTCTTATCAAGCAAGGTTAAATTTGTTTAACTGTGCATGTGGAGCTTTTTCATTTTTTGTGAAAGCTGTGTTGTTGATGTATTATTGTAATTGAACATATTAAAGAATATACACACACAAATCTATTAATTCATACATACATAAATGAAAAAGGAAAACATTGAAAAAAATAGTGTCAATGAAGCCAATGATATCTCATGTATAAAAGTATATTAAAAGTTTTTATTTTTATATTTTATTTTATCTTTTAAATATTAAATCTATTTTGAAAAATCAAGAATTTGTGTTGAAATTTATAAGCAAAAATTTATAATTTTATATGCCGTATAATAAGGGAACCATTTGCAAAATCAAAATATATACATATGTAAAATATGTATTAAAATATACATGTATATCAAAATATATGGCATGTAAAATTACAAATAAAATTTTGAAACTTGTGAATTCCTTCAAATTATGGTTTCTTTAAACATTAAAAATATTGCTTACTAAGAAGAGTAACAGTATTACAATGCAATTTACTTGTAAAAAAATTACATTTTTAAAGAAGTTTTTATAATTATATATATCGGTTTTTTTTTATTACGGTGTCTTTATTTTATCAGCTCTTATGTCATATTATATGGTATCTTATGTATTATAGGGTGGTTTTGCAAAATGTTACGAGATCACAGAATCAAAGTCGCACCATGTGTTCGCCGGAAAAATCGTGCCGAAGTCACTGATGACGAAAAGCAATCAGAGAGAGAAAATGACACAGGAGATTGCGATTCATCAGAGCTTGAATCACAGACACATCGTTGGCTTTCACGGCTTCTTCGACGATAGCAATAATATTTACATCATCTTGGAACTCTGTCGCAAAAGGGTAAGCATTTGCAGCGATACCTACTACTTCGCGAATACAGATTACCGATTATGACAATTATACATTTGTTTAACAATCTAGTCGATGATGGAGTTGCACAAGCGCAGGAAAGCGCTGTCGGAATGCGAGACACGGTACTTCATGAAGCAAATCTTGGATGGGGTTTACTACCTGCATCAGCATAGAATAATTCACAGAGATTTAAAGTTAGGCAATCTATTTCTGAATGACGATTTGCAAGTCAAAATCGGTGATTTCGGATTGGCAACCAGATTGGAGCACGACGGTGAACGAAAAAAGTAATTGTTACTCAAATATTGATGTCATGTTAAATATGATCATCTTCTTTATTGTTCGTTGCTATAAATAATTATATTAATGCTAAATCTAGAGATTCAATTTCCTTTATTCTTAAAGTTCAAATATTATTATTTATTTGATTAAATTTTTTTAAAATTAACGTAAATTATACTCTTCTTTAAAATTTTTGAATTCTGTCAAAAAAAAAATTTATATTAATTACACAAAATTTTGCTATACGATGATTTGTCTGATTGATGAATTTTTCAACAGAACTGTCTGCGGTACTCCAAATTACATCGCGCCGGAAGTGCTCACGAAGATCGGGCACTCTTATGAGGCTGATATATGGAGTATCGGTTGTATAATGTATACTCTACTTGTGGGCAAGCCGCCTTTTGAGACATCGAGCCTGAAGGAGACGTATTCCAGAATCAAACAAGTGCAGTATAAGACGCCGGTACACATTAGTAAACCTGCTATGAATATGGTAGCAAATATGTTGCAATTAAATCCTTCAAAACGTCCGACAGTTGCCAAACTAATGAAAGACATCTTCTTCACTTCTGGTAAGATACATTAACATCTCGAAAAAAGTAAAATTCAATTTATTTCTTTCTCATATTGTTATCAATTATCTAATAGCTTTTTTTATAATTTGTGTGGTAATATTAATTATTTGATTTATTGCAATGTTAATTTTTTCATTATTTATCGTTAGTTTAAATTCATTCAAATTATAGACAAGAGAAATTTAAGTTGATTTGATCTCGTCTAACAATTTCATTGATTACTGATTTCCAGCACTTGTTCTTTTCTATTAAAATAAATTGCAGTAAATAATTTATTAATTTGTAATTTTTCTTTTTTTTTCTTTGTTAATGAAGATGTTTATATATAAAACGAGATTACTATGTATATAACAATATGTTTACAATCTGGAAAAACTTGGAAAAGCTGGAATTTTTTTTTAATTCTCAAAAAATCAAGAATTTTCTTGGAATTTTATAGGTTTTTTCAGGGAAATTTTTGGAATTTTATTTTTAAATTTATATTTTTCTCCGAAAACATTGCTACTTCAATTTTTTCTTGATAATGTAAAACGTTAACAATTGATTAGCAATAAGAATGACATACCCTTCCGCGTATATTCACATATATTTTCATGTGTCTCGCGAATTTTTATAAGAATTATTAGAGTGATAATGAAAGACAATACTTAGAAAAAATATCTCATTGATATTACATTGTAGTGAGTTTTTCCTGTAGTATTCTAAGTTCCCAATCAAAAATGATATAGTTTTGTGGAATCCCTGTTTCCTACTAATTTTAAATTATTTGCATTGCTTGTACTCCGATTTATTTTAAAGTAAAAGTATTTTTTAATGGAATTTTGAATAAAAATATCTGGAAAATCGGGGAATTTTAAGAAGATTTTTATTATATTAATAAGATTTTAATAAACCCAACGTTAAATAATTTTTTTATTATTTAATAATTGCAGGATACATGCCGACGAGTTTGCCGCTCTCATGTCTGACAATGGCACCACGTTTGGACATGCTTGAATCGCACTGCAATCGCAAACCGCTCGGCGAGATGAATCTTAACGGTTACTCAGAACAGGACATTCTTGCTTGCCGAGTGCCGAATAGTCCATCACGTAAAACCAAACCAAACGAAATTGTTGAGCCGCAGAGAGTAAACCTCGATATCAGGAAAATGCTTCAAACATTGAAAGAGCAGATAGCTATTGTATTGAATACTAAGCCTGCTCGGGAGACAGCTTCCTCAGCAGGTATGTTAAGAAAAAACTTCTTTATATATATATATGTGGGTAGTAATTCTGCCCTAGTAATTTGCATTTTGATTAAGAAATATATTTATAGAAAAAATTTTTTCTATAAATATATTTCTTAATCAAAATGCAAATAACTGGGAAATAAATATAATTGCTATATTTAGTGTCATTTTATAATGCAGTACAGTTATCTTTAAAAATCTTTGAAAATTTGCAGATGAACTGACCGATCCGGCAGCGCAACCTGTGATTTGGATCAGTAAGTGGGTCGACTATTCAGATAAATACGGTTTTGGATACCAATTGTCCGACGATAGCGTCGGCGTGATGTACAACGACGGCACGCGGTTGATCATGATGGCGAATGGCTACAACATTCACTACATCAACCGCGAGGGCGATGAATTGTACTACACGGTCAAGGAATATCCAACCAATCTCGAGAAGAAAATGAAACTGATGAACTTCTTTTTGAAATACATGAACGAGCACCTGATGAAGGCGGGTGGCTCCATCGCAGTGAAACAAAGTGACTCTCTCTCTAGAATACCCTACATACACCAGTGGTTCAGAACTCAAACAGCCGTGGTAATGCAACTGACTAATGGCACAGTGCAAGTAAGTGTTAATTTATCGACTATCTCTATAAAATTAAATATATCCGCGCGCATATTTTATTGCTTATTTTTCCCCGAAATGAATTACTATCTTATAATACGACAATCTCATATACTTTTATCTTAAGGCTCCTGCCTAGTCAGCCACGAACTCCGCGTTGACGGTGGCGACTGTCAGGGGGGAAAAGAATAGTTTTCGTTTATTTTTACAAGTTTTTTAAAGCGACACCATTTTGTTATTTCATTCAAATTTTCTGCATTTAAAATGGCACGCAAACTTTCATGTCATTTCTCGTTTATGACATCACGATTCCAATATGACCACGGTGACTAAGCAGGAGCCTTAAATTTTTACTCTTTTGATTAGCCTCTTATAATATATTTGTGATGAAGGTTGAGATTTAACTCAAGATTACTAAACCGGTTAAAAGATCGCTTTCATGCGTCATCCTCTTCATAGCTGTTATTACCTTCTACATATTATTATCTAGTGCATTCATATTTGACAATTATTTTAATTTATTTTTCGCTTTTTTCTAAATTTTTGAATAATTTTTTTTTATTTTGTAACACTGCATCGACTTATACTTTCTATATTATACTTATTATACTTTCTTATTATTTCTATATTATACTTATAATACTTTCTTATTATTTCTTATACTTTCTTTGCACAATCACATTCATTTATTCTATTTCTATAATTATTTTTATTTATGTATTTTTATCGGTTTTAATACACTGGGCAATAAGAAAACCATAATTCGTATTTAGTAACATTGTTATTATTATTACGTTGTTGAAAGTATTGTTATCTTATTACTCTTGTACTCTTATTACGTATCATATACATTATCTGTATATTGCTCTTACTCAAAAATAAATAAAATTATCTATTTACTTTTCAGATCAATTTCCTGGATCACGCGAAGATCATTATGTGCCCGTTGATGGCAGCAGTCACTTATATCGATCTTGACAAGAACTTCAAGACTTATAGATTCCAGACCATTCAGGAAAGTGGTTGCTGTAAGGGATTGGCGGACAATTTGCTGTACGCGTATGAGAAGATCAAGCTGATGCTGAAGAATTCTCAAGCCCGATAAAATCGCTTGTGCCAAGGAAAAATGAGAGGAACAAGAGAAATAGCGAGTGTCGTGCCTCTCGTGGCACTATAAATTAACTTTTGAGGAGTGCGACATATTGTATTTATTTTCTAATAGTGCTGCTTTGCGAAAGAGAGAAAAAGAGAGAAAGAGAGAAACGGGCGAATGGAAGCTGCGATCATGCATGATTTTTCCTCTTCCTTCGTCCAACTTTTATACAGACGTATAGAATTTTGCTAGGCGATTTTTTTTCTTTCTTTTTTTATCATATACGAAAGAGAGAGAGAGAGAGAGAGAGAGAGAGAGAGAGAGGACCAATCGCGCAACATAAGCGAAAGACTTCGCGAGAAGGCATCCCATCATCAAATATGCCATACATATATTAAAGTCAATTAATCGGAGTGTGTATCATCGATCTGCCGTGTCATTTCCAACAATAATACTGGGACTGAGATTTTAAAAATCGCAGTTCCTCCTCCTCGTTAATCCGCAAAGACTGCTTGAAAGATATTTTGCTCTGACTTTGTCAAGTGAATCAAATTCGATCCAGAAGTCCCGCGCTGCGTTCATTGCTAAGGAAAGAAAAAAAAAAGTGCTGAACGGAGCACGGGGGTGATTCGATTGAGTGGTGCAATTTAATGTCTTTGATTTCGTTGTAGCAGAGATGAGAAACCTGCAAAAAGCTAGTCCTCTGACTGACCGCAGTGTTTATTCCTATCGCTTCCCAAGATCTGTTGAAGCGGAGAGTTCCTCGCGGATCCGTTCGAAGCAGTGCGACCACGAGCGTTCGTTAGTCTCCGAACGATAGTTGTTAAAATCCTAGTAACAACGGTATGCGGATTTAGGCGCGTTTATCGAAGAAAATGTTGTTCGAGGTGAGATTGTTCCGAATAAATCTTATAACGACTTGCTTAAAGCTTAATTGTTTCAGTTGTGACGTAATATCGAAAATATGTTAATTTCAAGGAGTACAGGAACGAATAACAAATGACGATTAAATAAATTACATCGTGATTATTTCTTTTCACTATTTCATTTACAGGCACTTCACGTATCTGGCGAAGCTGTTTTTCTCACATTTATTTCCTTGTTCAAGACGAAAAACACAAAGATCCTGTATCTTGAGAAGTTTGCAATCTTGCCAATCTCCATTTTTCTTTTTTGGTCAAACCCGTGGCTTCAATTAGGAATCGAAGACATTCCATAAAGAGTACTTTCTGAACTTATTTTGTATTTTGTTTCGATTCCTAATTCCGAAGCTACGGGTTTTTGTTACCTTGATACGAATGCGAGAATTGAACATAAGCAACTATTATCTCTGCCAACTTGTTAAAAACTCGACAGGATCGGAGGCCGTATAAGTAAATCACGATTAATTCGGCCGGAAGTTTTATAGAATCGGAAAGGAAATGTGAGAAATGGATTGATTGACTGCTTCCATCCGAGAAATTCAGCGGGATTTGTGATTTCTCGCATTGCTTCGATCGGTTAGAGAACGTTCGAAAGAGCACAGAGTCAATTATATTCAAGCTACTTTGTACATGAAGACTATTTTGCCTAGTAGAGAAAGACGACTATACAAAGACTATATTTTTTATAGAGTTAAACTGACTAGTGTGTTAACTGATGAATCGATGCGCGCGTATACTCGGTGTGTTGTACTATAAGATTCCTTTTTGTAATATTAGATTGTTACACAGATAATGTCGGTTTCATATAGACTAATTGTAACATCGAATCATTGCGAGAGTTCCCGTATTTCTTTTCAGCGGTCACGATCGTCAGTCCGATCAGGAGGGATTGATTAAAATAATTGAAATGACAGAGGTTTAGCAACGATTAGAGATCGAAAGACCTGTATGAAGGGGATCCCAAATATATCGGGGGAATATCGAAAGAACAGCGATCCGAATATTTGTGGATCTCGCAGCAGAAAGGCGATAATGACAATCCGAATGTTTAAGTAGCTGAGGAAATTTGTGGATCTCTTGGATGATCCTGATCCTACAAGCCGAGTAGTTTGACGGCCGACAGATCGAAAGACCGTTGAAAACGAGATCGTCGATGATTTCGTGCTGAGATGAGCGGAACGGAAACTTTCGCGAGGATTCCATGTAATTATAGACTGGACGAGAGAGTAGTAGTATAGTTATCTTTGCGTAAAAAAAAAAACGAAATTTATCCAAATACAATAACGAGATAACACGATAATTATTAAGTGCCACTCGGAGGAAACAATGTTAGCTTATCGAATGACGTTACGTTACATTAAGTTTAGATATACAAAAAAATGCGTCCAGGGCGAGGAACAATTGTAGACACAATTAGGTAATAAGTTAGCAAATTAAGATGAAAGTAGATGTACATATAAAGAAAAGGGTAGATAGGTAGATACGCCGAGGTGCGAATGATGCGCTTGCGAGCAGGAAGTATAGTTACGTTTAGACAAAAATTGTTAGGATAATATTTTTTTACAATGCATCAGTATACATATAACGTTGTTTTTTGGAAAAATACGGTACAGAAATAAACTGTTTTTTCTTTTTTAAATACAGGTCGCTTTTTGTATGCGCAATGCCGACTTTGAGTAGAACGTGACGCGTCCTTGCGGCTGTCAAGTCTTTTTCGACGATTTACAAAGTCTAACAATGATTTTTACGTATTTCCCATCGAAATCTTAAAAATGTCCGAGTTCATTCCCTTCTGACGTCACCAATCATCGACAATTAAAGTTCTTGGTAAGAGAGACGTATGAAGAAGAATGCTAAACTGCATGGAGATCAAATTCCATGGCGTTATTTCTTTACCGATTAAACAAAAATAATTTTTGCAGGCTTTCGTATGTATATTGCTTTTTCTTATTAATTTGATTATTCCTTTCCAGAATTAAAGTACATAGACATAGACGAGATTAGAAACTCGTGCAACCATTTCATACGAAGAAATTTTCGAAAATTTTTAACAATTTTGCTATTTTTTTATACAAAGTTTTCTCTCGTATTAAATCATCTGGAAACTCATTCATAAAAGCACAGTACTGTTCTTTCATCCTGAGCGCGGATGAAGATTGTTTCATACATACAAAGTATAAAACTTGTATAAAACAAATATTGTTGCGAGTCGACCTTTTTGAAAAGCGCACCATATAGCCAGCCTGAAAATGGCGGTGGTGCCCAAACTCTTCGAGGTCTCTGCTCTACACTTTTTATAGGACCATCGGACGAAAACGGCGCGTCTCGTGTTTCGTAAATCGTACGCAGAGCTGGTCCCACGTCACGCGTCGGGGTTAACCGTTAACCAATGGGACATGATGCTCATGCACACAGCTGTCGGAGTACTCGGAGAGTGAGACCTCGGAGTCGGCGCCGTCGCAGCGCAGCCGTGCGGCATGCAGTCGGGCAACTACTTTCGACCGGAGTGGACGTCGTTTTGCCTGTCGTCGTCGTCGTCGTCGTCGTCGTCGTCGTCATCGGGATCATCAATTCATCACGCGCGTTTAACGGACCGGGACGCATTATGGAATCCTGATAGTCTACGTGGACACCCTTGTCCGAGGGCAGCAAGTGTTTCTTAACCTAGGTGAGTTTTTGTGCGAAAACGCGAGAAATTAAGGCCACGCTGATCAACCGCTGATAAACCGCGCGGCTCGGATTCGGGTTATGTAAAGGCCGGGCGCGTGCACACTTTTCGATGCGTCTAGCTTTGTCCGCAACAACGGCGAGAGGAACCGTGACGTACGTGACGCTATCTTGAAAGAAATCGGCGTGTTTACCTAACGTACGAACTGAGCCTTTGACCTTTTTGCGAACGAGTGTGTAATACATCACTGACAACATTTCTCTGCTTCTTTATTAGCTTTAGAGCTTAGAGTTGCCTCTTGATTTTCAGTTATTCATAATCTTCGTTCGTAACATAAAATAAATGCAACATATATTGAGTATGATAGCGTGATTTATTATGTTGCAAATATATATAAGTAATAATTATGTCAGTATATGAATAATATATTAATAAACATAAATATTAATATATTATTATATTATATATATACATATATTGTATAAAATTTTTTAATACAATATATTAATATATATACAATATTTTATGTGTAATGAATACCATTAATACATATAAAATATCAATATATTATTTACATGTTATTTATGTACTTACATCAGTAATTACTGCTAATTATGAATATAGTAGAAAAAAAAATTCTTAAATAGGGATGATGATTCTTAAAATTACATTAGTCATATAGAATTGAGTTGAAAAATTCTGAATCTTTTTTTTTGCAATGCTCAATGGAGCATTTTTCAATAATTAAGTACTGGAGTAATAATCATTTCATTGAACATTGAGAGAAAAATAGTTTGTTTTTTTTTGGTTCGGTTTTTTACAAGAAATAACGCTATATAATTAGTAGGCGCTATTTTAAGATACATATATATAAGGTATCTTAAAATAGCGCCTACTAATTACATAGCGTTATTTCTTGTAAAAAATCGGAGCCGAAAAATCTCGAACCATTATGTTCAGCTTACGGAGTTGTGAATTTTGCGTTTGCGAAGCACACGTTTAACTTTGCTTCCGGGATTTTTAATTTCATGCGGAGCCCGTCTCTGCGGAAAGTTATATGTTGCGAAATTAAATTGCATCGCCGAATCTCGACGTCATGGGGATTCGACACGTACTGAATTCTAAAACGGACCCTAGGAATTCTCGAGGATACGTCTCTCGGAAAGGAGAACGTGTCCTTGAAGATCAAGGGCGCCCCCGGTCACCCTAAACCGATCCGCGACCTCAGACGCTTCGTCGCGTCGTGTGTTTCTCCGTCTGTTGCGTAATCGGTGGTTTGTACTCTTATCAGTGCCTATATACCACGCTATGCTGCGCGTGTGGTGTATCTCGTGTCACCGCATGAGTCGCGGGAATCGGGACTCACCGGCGAGTCACCTCGGCCATTAGCGGCGTCCCGGTAATCACGGTAACAACGCCAAATGATGGAGCCGTTTTACAATCGCTACACGGAAAAAGAAGCCGTGAATTCACGTGTATGTATATGCGCGGAGTAAGCAAGGTCCTGGAATTACTGTCTTTTGTAGACACCGCGGCTACTACGATTTTGTATCGAGATAATGCAATATATCTCTTTGTTGTTTTTAATAATACAACAAAATGCCAAAAGAAAAAATTGTTTCGAAGGAGCAGATATTAGATATACAGGCATTTTTTCGTTATTATTTTTTCAATTATTATTTTACCAGATTTCAAGATTTTATTTTATTAAATGGATTTATATGATTTTTTTACATAATATGTGATTGCTTTAGTTATTTTTTGCTTATAAAAGTATTAAAGAACACAAAATCAACGAGAGTTAACGAGATTTTATACTTATTCTACTTTGTAACATGAAAATATAAAATATCTCGTGAACTATTAATTTTTTTAATAATTCTATTTTAATATATTTATATGCAGAACGACTAATGGAATTATATAATTATGTAAAAGAAGATTATATCAATTTTACTTAAAAATTGGAGGTACTCCTGAAGTCTCTATTTAAAATAATAAGCATGAAAAAATGCTGTTTATTTATAATAATTACCCTTTTAAAACAAATAATTTTTTTCTTTGATATTCTATCATATCATTAAAAATAACGAAGAAAAATGTTTGAATTACTATAGGAAACTCCCTACATATTGATATATTGATACTATAGTTGTAATAATAATTTGCGGGATAACACTGCATGATTACACGCAGTTTAACGAAAAAAATGCACAAGTACGAAGATAATTATTTCCAGTTTTTTGCGTGCTGATTACACAATGACTTTACCAAATTGCTCTACGTCGCGGTGCTGAGAAATTTCCAGTTAAAAAATTGCAAAAATATTTATATATTTATATATATTATTTAGTGATCAATGGAAACTGATCAAATTGTTATAAATTTCTTTTGAAAGTTCTTTGTCAATGAAGATATCTGTAGTAAGATCATAAATATTTGGTTGTTTGTAAATTGATATTGAAAGACCGTTTTTTGAAAGATTGCCGTCTTCGAATAACTTAGATAGAAATTATAATTATTGCATAGTACATTTGATCAGTTTTGTGAGCCACTGTATGTACATAATATATAATGACAATGTATGTCGCTATACGATAGTAATTTCTTCATGCTTTGTTTAATATTAAATATTTTTCGTTTGACGTTCAATATCGGTAGTATATGTATTTCTAGCCATGACCAAGCTATAACAGAAAATAAAAGCATGACTTCTTGACACACACACAGATCGGAAGAGCACACGCACACACACACACACACACACACACACCCGCACACAATAAGCAGCTCGATACGTTAGATCTCAAATAATTCAAGCAGATAAGAAAATCTCGAGCCCCGCAGACAATTCGAAGGTTTCGTTTCAAAGTGCGCTAGAATACAACACGATCTATGAAGGTCACGAATGCGTTTATGAGAAGTCACGTCGAATATAAGATTGTAAAATCATGCAGAGATAAATGGCTACTTTTGTGACACTCGTATGAAAGAAATTGCAAGAAGGAGATGCGAGTACGCCGGAGTCGATAGATAATTCGGAGAAATGGTAGCGAAGGGGACTGAATAATTTAACTTATCGATTTGCACGTCCGCAGTTTGTTCCCGTAAATTAAGCCTAATGTCACTGGGCAAAGGTCCGATGAAAGATGATACTGAGGAGAAATCACTGTCGGCATATATACATGGTTTAATTATTACGCACATATTTACACGAGACAAGAGGGTTTACATTATGCGGGCGTATGTTTAACTGCTGGATTTTGCGGTTGAAATATGGAAATTGTGAAAAATCAATCGAGAAAAAAATGCGGTGTTACATACGATAATTTAAAAAAAAAACAGTAAATTTAATTAAATGTTAAAATATTATCCGAACTAAAATCAATTCGAATTAAACAATCAATTTAAGGCAAGTGAAACACTAAATATTCAATTGAATTAATTAGAAATTATTACAAAAAATATGCGCTATTATAATATATTATATATTTTCTCTTTTTTTAAATTATTATAGTTATTTTGTAATGATTTCCGCTTTAATAACACTTTAATTATACAATATTAGAGAATGAATAGTAGTAACGGCAAGTAATGTTTGGAAAATTACTCACCACAAATTCTTTAAATTTCAATAAGTTACATAAGTTATGTTATCTTCGTTCCATTTTATACATAAATATAAATGTATTCCATATTTAGATTGCAACTTTTTTTTCTTTATTTTATGTTATCTCTGTCCCGTTTTGTCATGATAACGATGGAAATAATAATCCGTGGAGTTTAAAGCCATTTTATATACATGTTGACATCAGCTGAATTAATTGTCCACGGAAAGAACAATTTTGATTTAGATAAGAAAATAATTTTTGTTCAATAATCAAAATAATTTTGTTGGAAAGCAAAAATAATTACTTAAAATATCAAAACGTTTTATAGCAATGCCTATCATTTTTAACTTTCCAATAAATTATTTTGATTATCGAACAAAAATTATTTTCAAATCTGTATTCAGGAAAATTTTTAGACCTTTCAACAAAATCGTTCTTTCCGTGTCTAATTAGTAAATCTTTTAATATTAAACATGAAGATGCATTATAGTGTGTTCTACATTGAGAGAAAAAATATTGTTAGAATTACTATAATTTAACTATATCGTATAGTTGGTACCATTTTCTATGCCAACTATATATTGGTTTAGTAGAACTATAAATATAATTATTATTAGCATCATAATAGTAATAATTATAAAAATCTATCTCTTAACCATAATTATTTTATCAATTATTTTATACAATTTAAGAAAACTGTATATTGTAGTACATATATACAATTACTCTCTAAATTTTCTGGAGTGAATCTCAATTCAAAAGATTGAAAATACTGCCACTCGATCACTTGAGTGGCAGTATTTTCACTCTTTTGGAGTGAGATTTAGGTATTCCAAAAGAGTGAAAAGTCACTCCAGAAAATTTCGAGAGTATATTGTATACATTATATATAAAATACAAACACAAATATCAAAATTTTTCTCTTAGTGTATTATTAGTAATCTTATTGCTTACAACTTTATAAAGGTGTACATAAGGTATCCCAGAATTCGCGCATACGTAATGTATGATGCGATTCTCTGTGCCAGGAGGAGCAATTTTTTCCTTTCAGCAACATTGCAAATTGTCCGAGTAGTTTTTAGCAAAGACAGCAATTTGAAGCTAACGAGCGCTCTGAACTGTGCATATAAATGCATCTATAAATACGCTGTTTTTCACGTTGATTTCATAGTAACTGTGAACGATAGGCCTGTTTTTTTTTTTACAGCTGAACTTCTTGCACGATTCATTTTCTCTCCTTTTCTCTTCTCTGTCGGATGAAAGAAAAAGAAAAAAGATGAACGGCGCCAAGAAGTTCAGCCAAAAAGAACAGGTTTACCGTTATTACGAAATCATTAAGAAATATTTGAGTAGCGTTATTTTAGGTACAACTTAAAGAGAGAAAATTTACTTCAAATTGCTGGTCTTCCCGTGATATCAGTTAGATTTTCTGCCGTCAAGTTGTTTATATTTATAATATCGACGCTCGCTTTTCCCGGGATCAATTTACGAAATTGATCGCGCTTTTCATCAAAAAGCGATGGAAGGCGTGTCGAATGGATCAACAATGCCCGTGTCTTTATCAACGCGATGGAAGAGAAGTGTCGCGTTAACATAACACGATGTTCAAATTACGCCACGTTCCTTATCGATCGTCGTTGCGTCAACAATGAATTAGTCTTAATTGACTCTCTTGTGTAACGAGCAACGGGGAATTAAGGGAATGGGCGGAAAAATGTGATTAGAACGATTTCGTCGACCGACTGGCGATCCCACGTCAATTTACTGAGCACGAGATACGTTCTAGTAGCGATCGATATTGATAAATGCTCGAAAAAACCGCGTGTATATTATACTTTGTATAATATAATATTATTACTTTACAATCACTTTAAGTACCCAAAAAATTTTGCGTAACGCAATTATTAAAGGACATTTATTAATCGCAACAATATTTAATATCGAACGATTTGAAAGATGTGTGTTTTATTTTGACTGAATGTCGCAATAATTAGAAACCGTTAAATAATTCTCTTTCATAAAAATTCAGGTAAATTTTAGTGAACAAATCTACATAAAACATTTCAATATTGCGGTTATAATATTATGACATACGAAAATTAATTTAAATATAGCGTAAAACAGAAAATAATTTTAAGTAAATGTTATTAACTTAGAACAGGGTACAGTGGGGTAATTTGAATAGTGGGATAACAGTAAGCATTTACAAGAATTTTGGAAAATAAGAGATTTTAAGATACATTTCATTAGGTCAGACATTGATCTAATGTACCCTATATAATTTGAAGCTAACGGAGGTGTAATCTGAAAATAATTTAATCAAATAGTAATTTTTATCTTAGCGTTTGTAATAGATTTAAATAAGGATAAAAGGTAAAATCTGTTTTTTTTTTAGGTTAATAAAATAAAAGTAAAAATTTAAAAATTTTAAAACAATATTAATTGCTCGAATGCAGCGTTGCAATTCCTGCAACAGCAAGTGTGTTAAACATTCATTAAATATGATGAGGCAGTGTATTCCGTTAAGTTATTTCTTGTAGTGTTACTTAACACATTTCCTTTTAGCGAAATAATCCGTTGTTTTATTAAAAGTACATACATGGTTTGTCCCCAAAAGTAATGAGACTAGTTTTTGTACGCACGTGAGAAGGGTCAAAAAAAGAAAACAGTAGCCGAGGCAGACCTGGCGAGGGATATGACCTCAGGTATACAGTCTGACCTTTCTCAATTGACTCCGAGTCTCTTTAGACTCTCGTAATTCTTGTAATTTTTGTGTCTTGTCACGGGCGAAAATTCAGCACAGTATCGAACGCTGCTCAAAACTGTGCTGCATTTTGAGTAGCGTTACGCGATCAAATTCTGAAGAAAAAGCAGCATTTCCATAAGCTGTTCTCAACATCTCCAACGTTTTGGAATCAGATTTTCCTTATACATAGTTTCATGCAGAATTTGATCGCTGCTCAAGACTGCTGAATTTTCGTCCATGACAAGACACAAAAATTATAACGCACTTTACTGACGATATCGACTGCTAAAAAGACTCGGCAACTGAGAATGGGTCAGGTTGTGTATCTAGGGTCCACTACCAAACTGCCTCGACCGCCATTTTCCTTTTCTTCCTGGTCCTTCTCACGTACGCACAAAAACTAGTCTCATTATTTTTGGGGCAAACCATGTATATCTTTATCTATCATATATTTACTTAAATCGATATGAAAAGTGCAATCAAATGTTACTGAGTTTATGAAGTCGGATACAGTTTGTATAATATTGCACGTATTCTCGCTTATATCAAATTTTATTTCATTCCATAAAGAAATTTTTTACAAATTTTTTAAAAGAAATTTGAAAATTCTGAATGAATATCAGTATTCTTTTATAAAATTTTTAGTTGTAAAAATATATACTTGATACTTTTGAAAAATTGCAGCATATAATATGCTTTTTTTTAAATCAGAAATTAATAATCATTTCAATTTCACAAATAAATCAAATAAATGCATTAGTTTATATTTTACACATATTCAATTTTTTCAAAAAGATTTTGTGATCTAATTGGTATTTAGCAGAGTTAAATAAAGGTATTTAAAACATATTATCTTTTTGAACGCAAAGAAAGAGAGAGAGAGGGAGGGAGAGGGAGAGAGAGAATCAGATAAGAAGAGCTTTCACTAGTCTTATCAGAAACATTAGAATCTTATATCATCAGAAACTTATAATGTATAACTTATTAATTTCACTTTTATTAGATATAATTAATAATTACTTATCTGGTTCTATGTTAATCATTTTTAATTAAAGTTTTGAATTAGAAATATTAGATCTGTCTCTTATACACATCTCTGAGCGGGCTGGC